TAGAAAAATGATCGTCGTTTTGTGCAAGGGTGGCGCAAGATTATTGCAAAATTTCATGTTTTCCGTCCCGTTTTGCATGTTTCTCGGAAGCAAAAATGAGCAAAAACGCTCGTTTTTACACCATTCCAGAGATAACTAAAAGATTATGCCAAAATTTCATGTTTTCCGTCCCGTTTTTGCTCATTTCTCGGAGGAAAAATGACGCCTTGAATCTATCATCAATGATTATAGCTTTGGCGTGGCACCAGACCATCCAGAAGTAAAGAATGTAATTCACACGTTCACCAAAACCGCAGAAGCCCCAAATGTGAAATTCCACGGCAATATTGCGCTGGGACAAAACGTTTCCCTTGACGAGCTTAGGCGATGCTACAATATAGTTTTACTGGTAAGTTGTGAAAGAATTCAGCTCCGCATCGAGCCAACTTTGACTCTAGACTTATGGGGCTGAAGAAAATCGACAACTGAACATCCCAGGAGAAACACTGGGCAACGTAATCACCGCAAAAAAAATCGTCGGTTGGTACAACGGGGTTCCATCTGACCGAAACCTCCAGATCGACTTAAGCGGCGATACTGTAGCCATCATTGGGCAAGGAAACGTCGCTGTGGATGTAGCGCGAATGTTGCTGTCGCCTCCAGACCAACTAAAGGTACTTTTACTGTTGCCGCTTAAATTTGGTTAGTAAAACGCGAAGTTTCAGAACACAGATATAACTGAGTATTCTCTAAGCCATTTGTCTCAATCTAAAGTGCAAACAGTCCATTTGATAGGGAGAAGAGGGCCCCTGCAGGCTGCTTACACCATTAAAGAGCTTAGGGAAATGTTGAAGCTGAAAAACTGCCGAACAGTGTGGCGCAAAGACGATTTCCAAGCGATTCCCAGGGATATCGTAGATACACTTCCCAGGCCAAAGAAAAGAATTACTGAATTAATGCTCGAGTCGGTTGAAACAGGCAGTAACGGCGATCCATCAGAAAAAGTGTTTAACCCGATGTTTTTGCGGTCACCTTTGGAGGTTTTAGGAAAAAGCACAGTTGAAAAGCTGGTGTTGTGTAAAAATAGACTAACAGGCCAGGACTATACTAAACAAGTGGCCGTTGCAACAGATTCTACAGAGATTCTTGATTGCAGCATGGTTATACCCAGCATAGGTACTCAACCCCGGCGTATTTGATTAAATCAGTTAATGGCTTTTTTTAAGGATATCACAGTAAACAGGCCGATCCAAACATTCCGTTTGACGCCAACATAGGCAGAGTGAACAACGCAAGAGGCAAAATTGATACTGGGTTGTACACATCAGGCTGGTTAGGTAAGGATTGGCTTATGCTTAAAAAAAACTACAAATGAGTTCTTGCAGCTACTGGCCCTGTGGGCGTGATATTATTCACAATGTCCAACGCTTTTGGCGTAGCTGAGCTAATCATTGAAGACATCGCAAAGGAGAATATCCTCCAAGAACCCAAGGCAGGATTCGAGGAGCTGAAGACGATCCTGGACGCAAGACATATACAAATTGTGGAGTGGGAGGACTGGAAGAAAATTGATGAATATGAAGTGAAGCAGGGCGCACAAGTGGGCAAGCCCAGGGAGAAAGTTGTGGATATACAACAGATGCTTGAAATAGCTGCTTAGGTGTTAAATTTTAATATGGAACTCAACATTTTTTTGTATTAAAGCGCTAAATGAGTGAGAAAGGTTTTGCCTACCCGACATGATGAGTCTTAATCAGGAAAGCATGCAGGTGTGATCAGCGCCTCATAGTAGAAAATCATCTCTCTGAAAAAAACAGAAAATCATTAAGCAACATTAAATAGAAATAACTTAATTAGTCAGGCTATACTGACGAGTGATTGAAGAACCAATGCAGTTTAATTGCTAACTGGCTTAACGCTATAAATGGGATTTATAGATATAAATATCAAAGTCCATAAGAGTTATTCTCATTACCTGCCCATTATATTCCAACACGTGTTGTTTAATTTTGGAGCTGTTCACCCAGGTAACATAATCTTCCAAAATTCTAGTCACCAGAAAAGCTGGATCTTTAATTAGTTCAGTTCCCACTCTCACATGACCTTGTTCTATGAGTTTTACTGCTTCCTTGATGGTTTCTACCATGCGACCTGAAAAATAGCGATTGAATAAAAACCGACCAGAAAAATACCGAAACCTCAGGGTCCCAATGATCGAATTCACCAACGGGAACGATCGGATTCGATTCGCAAGAGGTCTCCGTTCCCGGAAAGTGTGAATTAACCCAGAAAGTTTACCTCATGGGGACTATACGAGGCACTAACAATTTAGTGCTGGTGACTATAATGATAAAATATGCAACTTGTTAATAGCACTTACTTTTCGCCATTATTACGGCCAATCTCCTTCTGCAGAAACATGATGCGGTTACCTTTTCCGCTAAGCTCAAGTCCCCTACACTAGCAATCAAGCCCATGTCATACCTTGGGTGAAAAGTTCACTAATTTATATTGAAAGGTGTGTGAACTCCAGAAACTTACAGTTTTTGCAGCAGTCGAGCACTACACGAAGTTCTTACTGGATCAGTCGGGTCCAATAACTTAATCGTTCTTGCCACCTTCCGCACGTTCCTGCTTAGTTTATTGTACCTGTAAACCGGATTAAGTGAGCATCTTCTATTGCGGAAAAAATCCGCACGCTTTCCTTACTCTGTGTAGTCTTCTCGCTTCTGTATATGGTATTTTTTTAACACTTTAACTTCGTGCAGATTATTGTCGACGGACCAGGAAATAAAATCCACCTTTTTAAGCAGCTTCTTTTCGTGAAATTTCAGTTTTCGAACCATCTTGAAATATTTAAAGTATTTAAACTATTTCATAGAGAAAAACTGGTAAACAGTAAATTTCAAGGAAGGTTCTTTCCCTCGCAAGGATACATTGAAAAAGACTGATTTAAGTCAGTTTAAGTTGCTTGATCAGAGACAACTTGTCTCTGGCTTGATGGTTAGTCTGTAAATTCCCCACAGGGTGGCCAACATTTCGAACGCGTATTACCGTCCACGCCATTTGAAAAGGCCCCCCATGGTGGGACATGGCTGTCAATGGCTCAGAAATGACCAACCGTGGTAAACGGCAACGTTGGACTGTCCTTTGCTTTTCCTCAAGAAATACATATGCCAATCATAGCCAAGAGATAGAAAAAGAAATCAAAGAGCTCACAGTGTACCAGACAGAGACAGCGAAAACATGTCACTGGCGATTCCATTTTTCTTTCTTTGTCCAGATATGAAATTTTACTGTCCTTGTTCCTCTCAAACTAACAGAAATTCAACCGAGACTTATTGCAGCGAAAAATCGACTTTCAGCAGCTTCGTAATAGCGATAGAAAAATTTACATGTAATAAAATAATCGCACATTATTTCAAATTATGCAAGCTAAAAATGAGTGCAACTCTTATTTGTACAGATTGTTTCATATTCAATTTCTTTTTAATAATACTAAACATTATTTATAAAATGTTTTATATTATTGAAAATATTGTTTCTTCAATAAAAAAATTCTTTTAATGTTTCTATAATAGACTGTTTTTCTCTCACTTTTGAATAGAGCTGTTCAACATTTATCGTAAATTCCGTTAATATCGAAATTGCAATTTTTTTATTATAAGTCACTTAGCGAAATTGTCGAACAACTCGTAACCAAGAATAACAAGATTCAAAAATAAAATTACTCGATTTTCACACGCTTAATAACTAACAGTAAAAAACAGGGAAGGAAACAAAAAAAATAAGGTTTTCGGAACAATTTAATTGCTCATGTCTAAGACCTCGGCCTTTCCTTCTTTTCTTTATACAGCGCCAGAAGAGATACGTTGGCTACTTTGACGACCTGTAACAAAAAGAAAAAACCATTAGACTTTCTTCGCCTTGCCACTGTCCTTTTCTGCTATTCAGTCAATATCAGAATTAACAAAAATTCAGTATAATCACAAGAAATTCATGGGATTGGCTCTGATTTTTTTATCATCACTTTATCCGTCGCAAAACGCCAGTAAAAAAGCTATGGACATACCTTAAATCTAACTCCGGGAATATCTCCAACAGCGTGACCTTTCCTACCGAAACCAGCGACTAGTACTTCGTCGTTTTCTTCAATATGATTGAGGCAACCATCCCGAGGCACGAACGCCGTGATTTTCTTGCCGTTTTTGATCAATTGCACCCTGACGCACTTGCGGATGGCAGAGTTAGGTTGCTTGGCTTCTACACCACTGAAATTCACCACTATTACTCAGCTACAGACAATTACAATACAAGAAACATCTTCCAGAACAGGCCGGGCTTTTTGGCCCCAGGCAATGCACAGAATTCTCCTGTGATTGGATTATTTAAAGCACCATTCACGAGGAAATTCTGCGCGTTGCAAGGGCCAATACGATAACTGTTGGGCGCATATCAGAGTGGTTAATTCATGAAAGGAACTACCCAATGGTTCAGAGCTCGATTGATTTTGCATTTTTAACCTAATCACTGCATGCTGGCAGGCGATTTGTGGTTTTAATGCTGCGGAACTTTTCAGTCATTTACACGGCAAATAGAGCGAGGAGTTGAACTTACACTTTTTCTAGTACGATTCCTTTCGCATGAGAGGCGCCTCCAAAAGGATTGGCCTTCCACCTGGTTCCTAAATGGGCTTTTTTGTAGTCTTTGTCGGCCCATCTTTGGTCCCTCCTGTGGTTGACGTGTTTTCTCGCTGTTCTCAAACCGCGGGGCTTTCCTTAAAATCAAAAAATTATAAAGTTGCACCAAACGGAAAATACTTGATCCAGCAGCACCAGCCGGCCTCAAGCAATGTTAGAAGCAGCATTTGCTGTTGAAAATCCGAAAAACTCGCAAGATGATTGAAGATTTCGAGCCAGATAAATGCGGTTGAGTTCATTGATCAAAGCCGAGCTTTTGCTGAGGAATTCGCAATCAACACAACACATTTACTGGATGCTTACTAGATCAACTTGTTTAGTAACTTAAAACACTGCAAATGCAATAGTTGGGAATGGAAGATTTCCAATAATCGCTTAAAGAAAATGAAAAAATTAACGGTGCAACACTCACCCATGTTGACGATTGCTTTGCGGCAAGGGAAAAAGAAATGTCTATCACTTCACTTATAGGACTCGAACTACCAAACTTTCGGAAAGGAAAGCCCTGCTTCTCATGGCAGCCAACCTATGCAACAGAAACACACTACCGCTGGCAGCTTAGATTTGGCAACAGAGCAAAACTGGGGAAATTTTCTGCCGCGAATGGTCAATAAAAGTTTTCAACTATATTAGTAATGAAACAAAAGGGCTTGGAACTAAATATACTAAAACATTTGATTTGAAGACACTGGCAAAAAATAAAAATAGGGAGTTACCAGTCATTTCACTGCCAACTTTTTATCAATTTTTTTGTAGCGTAAAACTGTCAGTGTCAGATGGGCATTGGTTAACTGCCATATTGTTTATTCAGCATTTAAATATTTAAAGCTCTGTATGGAAGGAGGGGGTATAGTTAATGAGCTTCCATAATATGATTTTCTCGATAGGATATTAATCCACTTCCACAGATCCACTTCATTTACGTGAAGGAGTTGCCCAAGTGCGAGTGTCTGGGGGTATGTGGGCTGCGCTTTGAAGTTGTGGGGTTTTTGTGAGTGATAAGTTGTTAGTGAAGCCGCTTAGTGAACAATTGGACGCCCCCATCGAAGAATCCGGCTGTATAGTTTCCAGAGCCAGCAGTTTCCTCAAGCTGAAGTGTTTCCCTATCGAGTAAACTCCCTGGGAAGTGTCCAACTGACATCAGTGTGTAGTGAGCTGATGCCAGTGTCACAATTTAACATTATGGTGCATATTAGCCTGTTTCATACATAAAGCTGATCATTTATACACTAGTTCTACATATTTTATACATTCAGTAAAGCCAAAGATAATCCCTAATCGATTGCAACCATGTCAATGGAAAACAAGGACAGCCATATCCTTAATCCAACCAAGTTAAAAGTGGTGAGGAACTTGTTCGATGTGTCTGCAACCCCTGTGGGAAACTACGATAGGTTCATACCATGTAGAACTAATAATAACTGGAAAACTAGTTTCCCCACAATGCCAGACCCCAATAAGACTCCCCAAACTGGCAAGAAATCGAACAGGGAGAATGGGGAAAATAGCAGGGATTCTTCAGTGTATAACATTTTGTTAAGAAACGAAATACTAGGAGAGAGGATTGAGGATGTGAAGAACCAGTGTGATGACAGACAAGCTTTAACGCCAGTGAAAACTAGGAATTTGTTCAGATATGGAACACCAATTAAGGTAAGTCTCTAGCAGTTTGATAACAAACGAATATTCATACCATTTAATTGGCTACATGTTATAAAAACCGATACTATCAGCCCCATTTGAATGCTTAAAGCCAATGAAGTTGATTAATCTTCCACACTTGTGCCCATAACACTACAGTTATTAAATAACAAGTTAATTAGTCAGCGCATACTAATGCAAAAATGCATTTTTCAAGATGTTTATCCTGCTATATTCGCTACAGGGCTTCTTCAATACCTTCAAACATTATTTCGAACTTAATCAGTGGCTGGTTGTTAATGTGAGGGCCGGTACCTGCAGCTCCGATTAACTTTAATCAGTCAAGTGAGTCTATCTAGGGCTCTTAAAAGGGCATGTCTTGCCCTCTATGTATGCTTTATGTTTTTCTATATATAGTTTATCTGCTATTGTGGTAAGTCAAAGCTCAATGACTAAAAGAAAACACCGTATCCTTGTCCATTGTTAACCAAAACTAGATAGCGTATCTACCACATTATTTGAATTGCATGTACAGCGAATATTGAAAACTGTCCAGTCTGGGACTTTTGGTGATATTGCTTAAGTTAAGAAATAGAATGATCGAGCAAACTACCTCTGAAGATGCTCGCCACTCGTGCTTGCGAAACATCAGCAAGACTTCTATTCCTTAAGTATATACCTAAGCAATATCACCAACAGGCCCTGACTGGACAATTAAGGTAATTTACTTTTTCTGTTAAATCCACATCGGACTAATAGGGTTCTTTGAGGTGAATCTTTGCGTAATTAGCTACCTACCAAGTAATGTTATTTATTCCATTAAATTTGTTATGCCAGTGCAGTATGATTAAAATGGGTTATTAAACTTTCAATGCATACTTAAGCAATGCGCTTGATCAAAGTCATGGACAATGCACAATACGACATTCAATGGGTTCAGGTGCAAATTTTTGCTGCTGGTCAAGCTTCTGGACTTGGAGGAACCATTAACTGAACAGTTTGGCAGGTCCCCGGCCAAAACCTTATGGTTAAAAAAAGTCCCATGCATATTTATGAAGTTATTCATAATTGTATCCTACGACTGCGAGAGCGTAATTAAAGTTCCACTGTCCGTATTAGCCTAATTAACTTGGCGCTGCTTAATTTGCTTCTAATGCCCTTTTCGCGATCATTTACCTACACGTGAAAGAATTAATTTTTTTACACAGAAGGATATAAGACTGAACACATTCCAGCATAGTTATTTTTAAACAATTTGCATATTTGGCCGATACGCCCAAATTCAAGCGCGTCCAAGACAAACTATTTAGTCACCTCAAGATACGCTGTTTTATTCGGAGTTTTAGTGGGAAATTGTCCGGACATTAACGACTCACTGGGTGCTAAACTGGAATTATGAATGTCCCATGAGAGGTGACTTAACGAGTTCACTGACTGGAGCATTAGATCGGATTCATTCAGAATGATATAGAATTCTTCTTGAAGAACCAGAAGAACATCGAGCTAAAGCCCCAACTTTGGGCAGAGCTTAATCGATTCTTGCACTGCTTCTGCCCAACCGATTACCATTCAATGACAATGAATGCTCTTGAACCCTTTTACTTTCGCAACTACTCAAATGATTCTATTATTAGATAATGGCGAGACAAGCCATATGTAACTGACTTAATTTAGCCAGGTACAAGAATGTTTATGCGAAATTCTGCGAATAAATTTCTTGGTGAATGAACGGAACCAGAGGCCCCCCACAACACCCACTCTTCTAGTACCATCAGCTGTGAAATCAGCTGATGGATTAAAATCGTGTTTTAATTTTTAACACACGTCTGGCTGGTTAATGAAATTCATTATAAAACTCAGTGATCCTTGCTTACAGAGTGCGCCGACTACCAATTATATAGGGTGGCTAGAGCTTTTTTCTTGCTTATTTAAGTAGTTGAGTATCCGCGGAATTTTTTAACAAAATTAATTGAGCGCACAAAACCGCTTGGAACTCCGGCTGTTCCAATGGAGGCTCCAATGTGGAAGTTGAAAGTTCGTTGAGACACTTTAAATTCTTTATTGAATAAGCACTGAGTGGTTCGGGGTTTTTCCGCGAGTCACACATTGTTAACGTTTTTCCGCGAATCTTTTTGTTGGAACTATTACAAGTTTTAAAAAATCCGTTTTTTCAAACATAATCACGACCAATCCGGTGCTGGCATCATTTGCTGTTTTCCGCCACCTTATCACATAAATGGAATGTTCAACTTTCGATTTTTTCAAATTGTCTGTGAACCTGTTTATGCCTGATGTTGCGCTCCTAATTTGTAATGATAAGCTATCATTTTGCTAACATTGTTGGTGTTTGCGGTGTGTGAATACCATTTTGCAATTGCATGCAACGCGATTAAGAACCAATGAAATTTTGCTGTTTTTCCTGGATTTTTCTCCAAAAAATATCGTAATCTTAGCCCGCACCTTGTCGCCCTAGTCATGCACTTGTTTAATGGAGGATTTTATCAACACCGGTATTTTAAGGCAAATATTTGACTTGCGATACGAACTTTTTTTAACGCAAAATCCCAACTTTCAATCACGTTTCTGTTATCTTTATATTAAACAAGTTGAAAGTACATATGGGATGTTTGGTAACGGGTTTGCGAATTTTTCCCAGGGAATTGGAATCGCAGAAATCATTTTGCAATGTCTGCAATCAAACAGATTAGATGCAGTCATGAATGTTCTTTAATAGGGATTCATTCAAAATTCCCAGCCTTTGGAAAGCTGGAAAGAGGAAAATGTCAGATTTTTCGGTGCCCTGGAAGTTTAAAAGCTTCTATCTCCGATACGGTTAAAAACACCTTGAGAGTCTTCAGAACCATTTCGATAAAGCGTTTCCAAAGCTATTTTTTCCTTTAAGTGTGGCAGAAAAATTCGTAAATTTTAAAGAGATAGAGCCAACATTTGATGAGTTTTGCACATTTTCATTTATAGCCCGGAAACGATCGAAAATATTTGGAAATTCATTAGGACCTTTTCGATAGAGCGCTCCAAGAACTGTCATGCCCTACTTAGCATTTTGGGAAACTCCTAACCTTTAAAAAGGGAGGAGCTAAAATGTCATATTTTGCAGATCGTTGGAAGGTTAAGAGCTTCTATCTCGGAAACGGTTGAAAATATCGAAAAAGCCGTACGAACCATTTCGATAGAGCGTTTGCAAAGCCATATTTTTCGTCTGTGCGCCAAAGCAAAATTCGTAACCTCCAAAGAGGTGGAGCCGATATTTGATGAGTTTTTCACATTTTGGTTTATAGCCGGGAAACGATCGAAACTATTTGAACATTTATTAGGAACTTTTCAATAGAGCGCTCTAAGAAATCTTCGGTTACTTATATTTTTCGAAATCCCTAACCTTTAAAAAGGTAGGCGCTAAAATGTCATATTTTGCAGATCTTTCCAAGTTTAAGAGCTTCCATCTCGGAAACAGTTCACAATATCGGAAAAGTCGTTAGAACCATTTCGATAGAGCGTTTTTAAAGCCATGTTTTTGAACACAGTTAATGAGTTTCTAGCCTTAGTTGTTTGATAATCAACTATTCAATTAGTCAAGATAAGTAAATGCTTTCGCCTGGTTGCTACAAGCGTTTGCATTTCGAGTGGTATCAATGGGAAGGAACAAGCTATAGAATGTCCGCTAAATTTGCAAACAACTCAACAATATACAATCATGCAGCGCTATCTTATTTTGCAGCAATGCATAAAATTCTGCTGATTGCCAGAGTTCGGGGTCATTTACTTTAAGGGTCATCGAGGTTTTATTAATTTAAAAACATTGATGTTGATGGACATGTGGAAAACGTGGATTTTCGACTCTTCCATTTCCACTCAGATACAACGATCGGCTGGGTGTATTGGACTAAATACATGGCTGATATCGTCGTTTATTTGAATTGATTTGAATAATTCGTAAAGCTATCCGGTAGCTATGATAATCGTTCCCATTTTCATGCAGCGCTTTCAGGGCAAGGTTCGTGCCCTTTCGGTTAGGAGTCAACCTGGTTGATATGCTTTGGTAATAAATCTTTTGTTGGGCAATCAGAGTACAATGCTCTGGTTAGTAAGTCGTCAATGTGTTGTTCTTGTAAAAGGGTTTTATATTATGTACTTATCTACTCTATGTATACAGTGCGCATTCCTCTGGGCGAAAACATGCTTAATAGTTTTAAATCGTCGTGGACAGGACAGGAATTCTGTACAGGTACAAATATGGGAAAAATCCCAGTCAATAACAAATATTTGCGTTCTAGAGGAATTTGATTGAGATATCACGCGAGCTTCTGATAAGGCAAAGGCAAGTAGAAACTGAAAAATGCCTGATGTTCCGTCCCGCAATAAGAGCCCAGATTTGAGTGAAACACGTCTGAAATAAGTAAATACCCGAATGTGATAACTGACAAAGCACAACAATAACGGGCAGCGTTCTGAAAAAAACAACCATTAACCGATCTGTTGGTTTTCCTATTAACTTCTATCTAATTAGCTGGCCTGGGCAGCTTTCTAGCCGCTCATACAACATTTTGGAAAATTGTATCTAAAAATAATGGTTTGCGTGTCCAACCATTATCCTGGTGTCATTCACATTGCCACGTGGGATTTCGATTATTGAATTTATTTATTAGAGTGTACACATTTTCTCAAATTCAACCAGTAGGTTGTTAATGGATGGCCGGCACAACCATTATTTTAGCGAGCATTAACAAACGATGGTGTCGTAACATTTTTTCTAGGACAGCCTAGATAAAAGTGAATACCATTTTAATGGGGTTCATTGTTGGTAATTGAATACTCTAATTGAACGTTTCGTAGGTTTATGTATGCATCATCAGGACATGTTTGAACAAATCTACCTGGCAGAGTTTTGTTTGTTTCACACAGTTTCAGTGCAGAACTAAAGCTGCAAAATAGCCCTCAATTCTGTTTCCTAGTTCTGCCATATATCACTTTGTTTGCTAATTGAGTTATTAATTAATAACAGGCCAGAATATAATTTGGTCTATGAGTGTGATGGGCTGTAGTAGACAAACCGTGAAAATAATTCCGCCAAGGTTGTCTTGAGCACGGGTTGAACCCGTTTAAGGCCTTGGGTAACCCCCATGTTCCTTTGGAGCACCTCCAGCCGAGACTTTTCCTCGGCCAGTTTAAGCCCCACAACATGGCTTCCTATGGTTGGATATTTGCAATTTTAATTCACACTAATGCATACGGTGCCGAATCTACTTCCGCTACTGGAAACGGATCCACCATTTTCGGAATAATTTTATTAGCCGACGGTATGAATACTTAATTCATTGCTGTACCCGACCCTTTTCCTGTATGTGCCTTCGCCTCGATCATTACCGCATATTATTGATTCCAATCAACTCAATGACTCAAGTAATAGGGTTTTGCCGTTTTATTAATCGACCAAGCAAACTCAATTCTGCGAAAACTGCATTGCTGAATAATGCATTTTTATACGGGGTGATCCTTCTGGCTTAAAACCGTCGTAAAATGTTTGCCTTATATACAGGCTGGTTTAAAATAGTCTTACGGAGTGCTATTGAGTTTGCTCTCGAAGTTGAACTCTGTCTGCGTAAGTAAGTTACCCGATTCGTACCTGCAAAGTTGGCCTTCCGTGTCAATGCTGTCTTTAGGTCCTAGGTAGTCTCACTTAGGTAAATTCAGCAAACCAGCTTTTATTTAGGTAGATAATAAGTTCTCAGGGGCACTGACAACAAAAACATTGTGTTTGACAAATGCTGTCATTCTTACGAAATGTCAAAACGGGGCGAGTTTGTAGGTATTGCTGTCTTTGTCCATCTTGCAGCCGCTGTGCAACTGTGACAAAGAGACACGCTGTAATTATTGGGTTGTTTTTACAAATTAACTTGTCGACCGGGCCAAAGCGAATGCACGGAAGAAAATTGGGGATAAATTGCGAAATTTGGTAACGTCGCAGCAGGGGTTGCTTTAAATATTTCATAAGCATCTGGTGAAAGTGTGACTTGCACAAAAATATTTTTTAAAGGTTTAGGAGTTTTGCTTCAGTTCTAAGAAGAATTTTTTCATGATTTTCGACAACTAGAAGCTGTTTTGAAGTGCGTTGCATCAGTTTTGCTTCTGTCTGTTTAGAGGTTAGGAATTTCTGTCAAAGTTCTATTAAAGGTCAAAAGGTTTTTCCAACTGACTGCATTTTTTCAACCGTTTTGAATATACGTGCACAACTCGAAGCAAAATTTCTGAAACCTGAAAGAGGGTGAAGCCCTGTCGGATTTTCAATCTTTTTGTGGCAAAATGGGGCTCAGGAGATGCTCTTTCAACATGAACTGCATGATGGAAAACTGTTTGCCGGTGGGGGGCAAAGCCCTAATTTGATCGAGCGGCTGATCCGCCAATATAACATGTGAGTGAAAAGCTAAATTTTCCGCACATTCTCTACTGGAATGTTCAAGTCATCTGGTTAAGTGCTATTCCAACCTTGAAATATTATGGATAGTGCATAATAACGCGTTTCAATTGCATCCTCAACTATTCATCTGCATAAAAGTATTGAAATTAATTAAAATTCCAAATCAAATTAAAAAACACAGTCAGGAAAGTATATACAATTAATTAAAATGTTACTGCGTATTGTCAAGTCCTGATAACCCAGCTAGGATTTCGAAATAGCACATAAGGGCATTGATCGTGGTTTTTTCAGCAATTAAGCGCATTGAATGGTAAATCGGTCGCCCTGTTACATGTGTGCTAATTTCTAAACAACCTGTTGTTAGGAAAAGCACGTTGAGGTGTTATTACCGACTAGTGATGATGATTATTCATGGTAATACGAATTTCCACTGTGCATAAATACAATAAAGCCACGTATTACGTGGCAGAGAAAAATAAGCTCCATGCAATATTATTTAAACCCATTAGATGTATAAGCATTTAATTATGTACTGGTAATGAATGCATGGAAATTCAGTGGCGTGTGGTGGTTTTTCTATCATCTAACTGTATCGAAGCCTTTCCGTGATGTGGGGATGTTATACCCACGTGTCTCGTCCTTGGTTGCCTGCTTTTAACTGTATCCACGTCGAAAAGGCATTCCACTGCGTCTAATTGAAGGTAGTTCATCATGATCAACGCCAAGTGTTTGCAGAAGGATAATTTTATGCATAACATTGCTTTTTTCTCTTGTGGCAATGCCCCATCAGATGTTGGGCGCTATTGGAAACCAGCAGCAGTGTGTAAAACACAGCAATTATCAATGTTACACAATCGACCAAACTATTATAATTGCATTGGAAAACATTTGTAAGGCTGACTTGGCGGGCTTATCACTACTATACTGGTGGCAGTGACCCAAAAATCCCAATTAAATTAATAACAATATTTTCCTCCTCGTTCGACACTGCACTAGCTTACGACATAGAGCCATATTATTTATCGACAACGTGGTACTTTGAACTTACTTTTCTGGTACCTACTAATGGTGTGTGAATACATTTGCAATTCAAATATTGCCTGCTAATTATTTTTTAATCGCTAGGTTTGATCGGTTTGATTGAGAATTCTGCAATCTTGTGCGGAAATGGTTTGCTTTAGTCGGATCTAAACACGCTCTAAATGCTGAGGATCTTCTTATGTCCAAAGTTGGACATTGAGCTGGAAAAACTCAAAGGGGAATCATCCACAAAACATCCTTTTGAGACTTTTATTAAATTAGAAAAATCGGATTTGTGGGCTATTTTTATGAAACTTTCAGCATCTGTAGAGTGAAGCGTCTTAGAAAAATGGTGAAAATTTCGGGTTGCTACTGGCTTTAGTTTGGAAGATTCGAATTTTCTAAAAAGTGGGTGCAGATGAGAAAAAACGTCTTTTTGAGACTCGACATTTACTAATCTGGAATAATTCAGAAATGTGGTACATTTTTATGAAACTTTCAGCATCTGTAGAGTGAAGTGTCTTAGAAAAATGGTGAAAATTTCGGGTTGCTACTGGCTTTAGTTTGGAAGATTCGCATTTTTAAAAAGAGGGTCCAGATGAGAAAAAACGTCCTTTTGTCCCGACATTTACTAATCTGGAAAAATTCAGAAATGCGGTACATTTGTATGAAACTTTCAGCATCTGTAGCGTGAAGTGTCTTAGAAAAATGGTGAAACTTTCGGGTTGCTACTGGCTTTAGTTTGGAAGATCCGAATTTTTTAAAAAAAGGGTGCAGATGAGAAAAAACGTCTTTTTCAAACCCGACATTTACTAAACTGGGAAAAATCAGAATTGAAGGGCTTTTTGGTGAAACTTTCAGCATTTGTAGAGTCAAGTGTCTTAAAAAGATGCTGAAAATTTCGGGTTGCTACTGGCTTTAGTTTGGAAGATTCGATTTTTTTAAGAAGAGGGCGCAGATGAGAAAAAACCTCTTTTTGAGACTCGACATTTACTAATCTGGAAAAATTCAGAAATGTGGTACATTTTTATGAAACTTTCAGCATCTGTAGAGTGAAGCGTCTTAGAAAAATGGTGAAACTTTCGGGTTGCTACTGGATTTAGTTTGGAACATTCGAATTTTTACAGAAGAGACCGCAAATGAGTAAAACATTCTTTGGAGGCCGATATTTTCTGATCTGGAAAAATTCAGAAATGTGGTACATTTTTACGAGACTTTCAGAATCTGTAGAGTGAAGTGTCTTAGAAGGATGGTGAAAATTTCGGGTTGCTACTGACTTTAGTTTAGAAGATTCGAATTTTTAAAAACATGACGCAGATGAGGAAAAATTTTCTTGTGAGACCGACTTTACTAAACTGCAAAAATTCAGAAATGTGGTACATTTTTATGAAACTCTCAGCATCTGTAGAGTGAAGTGTCTTAGAAAGATGGTGAAAATTTCGGGCTGCTACTGATTTTAGTTTAGAAGATTCGAATTTTTAAAAACATGGCGCAGATGAGGAAAAACTTTCTTGTGAGACCGACTTTACTAAACTGCAAATATTCAGAAATGTGGTACATTTTTATGAAACTTTCAGCATCTGTAGAGTGAAGCGTCTTAGAAAGATGGTGAAATTTTCAAGTTGCTACTGGCTTTAGTTTGGAAGATTCGAATTTTTCGAAAAACATCCTTTTGAGGCCGATATTTGCCAAGGCGCATAAAATCAGAATTCTGGCCAATTTCAATGAAAAAATGTTGGCCTATTTCCCGCTAGCCATAACTGAGAGCATTTTTCTCCTGTTCCAGAAAAACAACTGCCAAAACGATAGGATTCCGATGAAGTGCCAATCGGGTCCTTACTCGCTGTCGCCATTGAGTGCCAGCAGCCAAAGACTGTTACGATCGCCCCATAAAGCGACAAGAAAAATATCCAGAATACCGTTCAAAGTACGCTGGAAACCGGGCGTCTGACTAGCAAACTTCCAGTAACCGGTTTTCTTTTGCAGGTTTTAGATGCACCTGAATTGCAAGATGACTTCTACCTAAATCTAGTCGATTGGTCGGTTCAAAACGTTCTCAGCGTTGGACTGGGAAGCTGTGTGTACCTGTGGAGTGCCTGTACTAGTCAAGTGACCAGGCTGTGCGACCTTTCCAGCGATGCGAACGTAGTTACGTCCGTTTCGTGGAGCGAAAGAGGCAATTTGGTAGCTGTGGGCACTCATAACGGATACGTGACGGTAAGTCTTCTTATAGATGACTTGAAAAAGCCTCGTTCGAGAGTGTTAAATCTTGGATTTCTGCTGCTTCAGGTATGGGATGTGACGGTCAATAAGCAAGTAAATAAATTAATGGGACATTCAGCAAGGGTTGGAGCCTTAGCGTGGAACGGCGACGTCCTCAGCTCGGGCAGCCGGGACAGAATGATTTTACAACGAGATACGAGGACGCCGCGTAAGTTCCACATACACATCCCTACAGACAACAATCATCCAGAAACACCTGATGCCTGCAATATTCACTTGACTGTTCATCTGTATACTTTCTCATGCTTTTCCATACACTCAATAGCGCCCCATACACGAGCGCAATATCTGTTATATCTGATACGTGGCGAGCCAAGTTGGAAGAAATATCGGTGCGTTAATGGTTAACCACAAGCCAGATACAATTCGATGCGAATTTCGTACAAAAAAATCTGCAGATCTGCCATTAGTGGGTACGGGCGAATACTAGTGTTAGAGATTATTGCCGCCTAAGCAGTCATGCTATCGCCATACTTCCGCGGCTTAAAGAAAATACATATTCAGATAAAATTTAACGGTTGGCATTGGTACAGATTTGAGATATAGTGTATAACGTGATAATTCAAGCAATGGGCAAGAGG